TTAAAGAACATCCGCCCCAACCCCCTCCGGCTCACGTCGATCCAGTACAAGCGTCTGTCCACCCGATCGAAGTCCAGCGCCACCACGCTGGTGAGGCCCTGCAGAATGAGTGAGTAGGCCTCGCCGTCCGTCGACAGATTGCGCAGATAGTAGCGGTTGCTGAAGATCAGGTAGGGGCTGATGTTGCTGTTCTGCCTGCAGCTGCGTCCGTCGGGTTCGCGGAGGAAGCCTGGCGCACACTTGCACACGTACGAGCCCATGGTGTTCTCGCGAAAAAAAAATTCAATAATTTCATGATAAAACACCTTTGCTCACACTTTATAGACATAATCTTACATGTTTTTACAGATGGCCTGATGTCCTCTACTAGTGTTCACATTTACATTTCTATAAATGAAATTGAGTCACTGAGCTTAAAAGATGATTAGATTCCATCATGCAATGATGCAAATGACTTTACATTTGTTAAAAATTCCAATGGATTTATAAATAAATTACTTGTAAAGAGGGTATTTTGCCATTATTTGCATGCATTGCATGTTTACACATAAAAATGAGACACAAATATACATGTACTGTACAGTCAAATTCGTCCAAGAATACTTGAAAAACACACTTAAGTACAGCACCAAAGTACAAATACAGACCACAGCAATGGTGATTGATCTGGTTAGTGATGTTGGACTGCTATTACTTTGAACAGAACATTTATTTTAACCCCCAAAAAAAAAAAAAAAAAAAAAAAAAAAAAATCTAATCACAAGTTGTCACATGATGCAGTGCTTACCACAGCCTTTCTCATCACTGTTGTCGTTGCAGTCGTCGTTCCGGTCACACACCTCGCTGAGAGGTATGCAGTTTCCATTGTCACACCGGAAGTTTCCGGGAGGGCAAGTGGGTGCTGGAGTCCTGCACAGGTGATCCAGCTCGTCAGATTCATCCCCGCAGTCGTTGTCCCCATCACAGACGAAATCCTGAGAGACGCAGCGGCCGTTCTGACAGGTGAACTGATGCTGTTGGCATGGCTGATAGGTGCAGACCTGCTCATCACTGCTGTCTCCACAATCATTATGACGGTCACACCTAACAGACACAACACACACAGCAGGGAATTATGGAAGAAATTGCTCTTTTTCACTGGAATCAATCACCAAAACAAAGTTTTGTATAAGCACTGCAAATTCTTTTATAACTTTATTTATAAAGTTATGAGCATATAAAAAGTGGTGCTGTCTTTCATAAATAAAAATGGAAATACTCAATTAATAAATCACTTAAAATGATAAAAAATTATTAAAAATAAATTAAAAGTATTCAAATTAAATTAATTACAATTAAAACAATACAATATAATACATTATATAACACAATATGATACATTATTATTATTATAATACAATATAATGCATTATTATTATTATTATTATCATCGAATTTCACCCTCTTTCATTAAAAACGAAATAAAACGAAATAAAATTAAATATATTTAATACAATGCATTATACAATATATATACAATGCACAAATACTATAATGCATTTATTATTATTATTATTATTATTATTATTATGCAGTTTCACCCTATTTCATAAATACTAATTATTAAAATAATTTCTTAACTATTTTAAAAATTACAATTGAAATGATACAATGCATTTTCTAGATTTATAATAATAATAATAAATTATTAATGTTATTAATAACAATAAAAATAATTCACAATGTTTATGTCTTTGCATTTTATTATAATGTAAAAAAAATAAGACAATATTTCAAAATAGGTTCTGCATATCAGTTATCAAAAAAAAAAAAAAAAAATCAGCCAT